TTAAGCTTGCCATGCAAGTAACACGAGTCCTACGTCGTAGGGTTGAATGTTAAGCAAAACGAGGGAAATGTATAACATGTTCCTTACTCTTCCAAGTCCACCAAATTCCGTAGCATCGCTGTCCAGTGCAACTCTATATTTTCCCGGCAAGTCACAGCCAACTTTGTATCTGTAAGTTGCAGGTACAAGTCAAAACTTTAAGAATAACATACAAAACTTGGTATCAAACAAATCGAACCATAATATGTAAATGTGGAAATAACTCCATGATTAAGCAAGTCATTTAGTTCATAAAAAATTATATACCCTTCATATGTATTTACTTGGTGAAAGTTGAAGACAAATACTAGGTCTCCCCTCTCAAAGACAATGACCTGCGATGTAGAAAAAGGAATTAATGAATAAACACAAGCACTGAATTCTATCATATATGTCAGAAAACTGACAGAACTAGTAATCTTCAAGCAAACTGATTCTTTTTCCTGAAACTTTTCAAACAAGAATACTGGAATATAGGAAGTCTCGTATGCTAAAACTTGTGGCATCATTCTAAAAACCACTCTATATGAATATTTGTGCATGTGTGCAATGCACCACGAATCTTTGCATCCATAAAATTCAATCAAGTAGAGCACATTATAAGGATCCTATATAGCTTTGACAATATGTATATAAAGCATCTGTACCTTGTCATCTTCATCCACACTGCTCACTATCTGTTTTTCTGACGCAAGGAACGAAAATTTTTCATCGAGTAAATTCATAGCTCTGTTAAAATTGTTCATGAACTGCATTTTCAAGGACAATTGAGCAAAATGTTGGATTGAGATGCACATATTAGAATGAAATACATATAAATTTGTAGCAGGGCAATGGTTCATGAAAAAATGTAATAAGTTTGTAGATAGATTCAATAGAAAAGGCTATTACATTCTTGGTTAAGAGCAAGCATAAGATTGTAATTAGTTGTGAAGCACAGACACATGCCTTGGACACTCTGAGACAAGCGTTTCACACATCACATGGAGTGTCTTATTTTGTTTATTGGTTGAAATGCAGGAGACATGGGCCTGAAATGCCACAAACAAGTAACTGACACATCACTTACCATGTCCTATATTTTTCAATTTTTGATATGTGAGGGAACCGACCCAAACACATCAAGATTCGACGACACCATAAACTTTACGTTCTAAATCTTGGAGTGTTAAAATAGGAAAAAAAAAATGTTATCAAAAATTTGTTTAAAAAAGTCACATGATAGTGAGAAAAACTGTAAAAGATTCAGTTTTAATTTATTTTACATCTATTACACTCTCTTTCTGATATATGAATATTTCATTTGATTTGCAATAGCAATACATAGTAACCAAAGTTATTTAAATAGCCTTTCAAATTCAAAAGATTTAACCAAAGCCAATTTTAAAAGTAAATTACTCAATGTGCTCCCATAAGCGTTTGGGTCTAAAGTACTTGAAACCCAC